TTCCACCCCCGCAAGCACTCATTTTTTAAAAACACACCGCAAATGAAGTGAATGACACTTATTAAAGGGGGCAGTTCAGGCTTGTGAATAATAATTAGCGGCATTGATTAATCACATTTATGTCTACAGTAACAGTTACATGTAAGAGATATGTTATAGATCTGTTAATGTCTTTCAATGAACTGACTTTGACTACTCTGTCAGCGAGGCCGCCGTCCCATCTCCTACAGTCGGTCTGTCTGTGGAGTGCAGACACTCTCTCAACTACAGAGAGACGTCCTTGATGCTGACCTTGATATCTTCACCTATAAAACCAACTTCGAGGAGACTTTCAAAATAGCTGTGCGAGTGAGTACCTTGCTGCACTGACGTCAAATATAATGTGTGGAATTTGCACGCAGACCTTTCATTTTGGACTCATAAATCCCCCCCCTCTCTCTCTCTCTCTCTCTCTCTTTTTGTGTCTGTATGTCCGTCTGTGTGTGTGTGTGTGTGTGTGTGTGTGTGTGTATGTGTGTGTGTTTGTATGTATGAATGTGTTTGTGTGTAAGTGTTTGTGTGTGTGTGTATGTGTGTGTATGTGTGTGTCTGTGTGTGTGTGTGTGTGTGTGTGTGTGTGTGTGTGTGTGTGTGTGTGTGTCTGTGTCTGTGTGTGTGTGTGTCTGTGAGCCTGTGTGTACGCGTGTATGTTTGCGTGCAGTATGCGTGTTCGTACATTTATAGAGCCTTCTTACTTCTTGTGTCATCACAATCAAATGAAATATTAATAGTATTAATAACATTTTTCCCAGGCTGCTGACTTGGTGACAGTGAAGGCTCTTGTGAAAGGTTTGGGTGAAAACGGTGATATAACCAGGTACAGTCAACTCCTCTTTGATTGCGTGGACCTTTGCAGGGAAGACATTGCTGTCCACCTACTCAACTCTGGCTTCAGGGCCGACATCTGGAAGCAGGTCAGTGTTTCCTAATACCCAGTGCCCATTGGCAGCATTGAGGGATCGGGTCGAGCCGGGTCGGGTCGGTTTGCTAGCCAAATGGACACAAAGCGGCTATCGTGGCACAAGCCGATCGCGCCCAACTCGTCTCCTAAAAAACCGCGTTTGTTTTCAGGCGACGAGTCGGGCGATCATCCCGACCTGACCCGACCCGATTCCATCCGCAAAACTCTCTGCAATCAGTATGCTAATTTGATCTTTCGATTCCCATAGGCTGCATTTCCCGTGAGATACATTTCTTCAAAAAGAATCGAATTCGATTAGCAACTCTTCTCTGATCCCACTATTGCTCAAGGTTGTCACACTCCATAAACAATTAGAGACCTACTGCCATACTGTTTCCTCGAGTCACAAAGTTCTACCTTTTTAGCTAATATTAATAACAAAATCAACAGAAAAAATTCATTTTCCAGAAAAGGATGTTTATTCTGTAAGGCGTAACCTTTGTGTTGGAGCAGCGTTTGTATCCCCAGAAACAAAGAATTTCATAAGCAATATATTATAATATACACCTATGTATAGATAGATAAAATGTTACTTTTATCCAGCACTTATGATAATGTTGAGTCATAGAGAACAAGCTACTACTGAACGTATTCCCTTTGTTGTAGTATCATTGTCTTTTGCTTTGTTAGTTTTTTAAAATGTTTTTGTTTGGTGTTACTGTTGTTTTTTCCAGTACTCGAAATGTGAACCAACGAACCCCTTGTGTGGGATGGGGGAGTGCAGTCACAGTATGATCAGCCTGAAGCAACGAGCGGTGGAGACTGGTTGTTGTCGTGTGGTCAAGCTAATCAACCAGAGGAGCGAAAATGTGGTGAGCATCCCCCCTCACTCAGTGTTCTGTAATGTATACCGTTTTAAATCAAGTAATCAAGTGTGGTGCACGCATTCGTCTCAGGCAGAAACACCAGTATAAGAATTGCGAGAAGAGAAACGAGATATAAAAAAGGAAATAAAAAGAGCATGGAAAAAAATGGGTGGGGCGAAAGAGAGATGGACAGTGAGAAAGAGAGAGGGGGGGGGAGAAAGAGAGAGAGAGAGAGAGAGAGAGAGAGAGAGAGAGAGAGAGAGAGAGAGAGAGAGAGGGGGGGGGGGTCAAGGGTTTGTTTGTTTGTTTTTTGTTTTGTTTTGTTGTTTTGTTTGTTTGTTTGTTTGTTTTTTTGTTTTTTTTTTGGGGGGGGGGTTGGTAAGTGTTTTACGGCGCTCGCAACTGCATAAGGTCATATATCGCGCGGGACACACCTAACATTTTCAGTCGGTAGGAAATTTTGAATTTTGCCCAGGTGACGGGCGAAGCCTACTCTTTATCGATTTTGGACCACCAAGGGATCTTTAACGAGCTCAACTTACACACGGGACCTCCGAGATTTTTCGCCCTTGTCGGAGAAGGCTAGGTGTAGATCTTTCCTACCAGAAGATCAGGGGTGTGGCTGAAAGACAGCAGTAAGAAGGAACCAAGGAGAAGCAGTGGAAAGGCTGCAGAAAGAGTCAGGAGCCCAGAGGATGGGGCAAAGGAGGTGATGGGGCAAAGGAGGTGATGGGGCAAAGGAGGTGATGGGGCAAAGGAGGTGATAGGGCAAAGGAGGTGAGGGGTGGGGGCAGAAAGTGGAGACGAAAGCAGACGCCAGAATATTGTTAGGAAAGGGGGTGAAAGGAGATAATTTTGTTTAAAAAATGTTTCCGTCGCTACCCGGATTTGAACCCGCGACGTTGGAATGAGAGGCGAGCACCTTAACCTCTAGACCACGAGAGCCCCTTGGGCAATGGTAAGCTTAGTTCCAACAATATCAATTTCTAGGCCCTAAACTAGCATTACTACCTTATTTGATACATGTAGGCATACTATGTTTGTGCACTTACTAATGAAATAAAAACATGAGTTTTCTTCTTTTTTTTTCTATTCGCAGGAGGCATTAACTCGTCAGTCAACTTCCCTGTTGAATTTTGGTGCAATGTAATCCAGCGCTCTGAAACAGATCATGACTTTGTTAATAATATAAAAGTATTGGGATTTTTACCATTACAATCAACTGATGAACACTGGAGCAAGAATTGTGTTAATGACTATATAATTCATATTATGCTCTGAACATTCATGTACAGTGGGAATTCGTGATCGTATTTATAATAAATGTTATGTTAACTGCTCTCTTTCTCTCTCTCTCTCTCTCTCTCTCTCTCTCTCTCTCTCTCTCTCTCTCTCTCGCTCTAGCTCGCTCTCCCTCTTTCTTCCCCTTTCTATTTCCCCCTCTCTCTCCCTCTCTCTCTCTCTCCCTCTTCACCTTCACCGCAACATTCTTAATGACTCAGGTACCACTGTAAACAGTAATACTTTTTTGTCTTTGTTATCATATAATACAAATGTAATGTATGACCCTTCTTGTCTTTTTATGTTGTTACAGTTATCTTGGTAATTTATCATGCCGTTACTATGTCCTACGTCTTCTTAAATGATAAATAAACATATTAATTGTAGGAATCAATTGTTATCCCAAGGCCTGTATAGTAACAAAATGTATATTTTCTATTAATGTAATGTTAAAGAGTGTGCTTGTTGTTGTAAAAGGAAGACGAAACACAATTATTTGGTATTGAAAAACATGCGTTGGCATGCATACATTTATTTATTGATTTATTGTTGTTGTTTTTTGTTGTTGTTGTTGTTTTTTTGTTGGGTTTTTTTTTTTGGGGGGGGGAGGCTCGAGAGGAGAAACACGGTCAAGTTTGTGGGCATGCATGCCCTTCGTCTGCGAACGAGACCAAACGACAGTGAACGAGATAGAAAAAGAAACACATCTTTTAATACCCCCCCCCCCCTTTCTGCCACCCAACACACCCAGACACACCCAGACACACGCACACAAACACACACGCACATACACACACGCACATACACACACACACTCACTCACACAAACACACACAAATATATATATATATATATATATATATATATATATATATATATATATATATATATATATATATATATATAAATATAAGAGAGAGAGAGAGAGAGAGAGAGAGAGAGAGAGAGAGAGAGAGAGAGAGAGAGAGAGAGAGAGAGAGAGAGAGAGAGAGAGAGAAAACAGTGCTTGCCAACCTGAGAGAGATGCGGTTTTGGTCCTTTTGGTGGGTAGTGAACGGTGTTATTTTATACCCCAGTTGGTAACGCATAGGCAGATGGACGCTACGAAAATTTTAGTCTCTTAAAAGATTTTAAAAAGTAGGTGCTGGCTGTAAAAAGGTTGACAAGCGCTTGCCTAGACGCACTATTCAAAGACAAAAAGAGTGAGATCCTCAAAGTCAAATCATTTCGAAAGGCACCTGTTCGGTATCTTTGAAGACTTCGGATGGCGGGAGAAAATTCTCCCAGGTAGGAAGAGAAAATCTCTTTTTTCTCCAGTGCTCAAAACACCACCAACAGAACAGCCTTCAGTGTGTATGTCAATTTTGTAACCCCTCTCGCCTTAACGAGTGGAGACAGATGAGTGCTGTACATGAATTACAAAATACAATACAAAACCAACCCCCACCCCCACCCTCCACAAACAAACTAACAAACAAACCTGAATTATTTGCTTGCGAAACCAACAAGCTTTACTACGCAGATTATGAAAAACCATCACTGACCACTGGAGAGAGAGAGAGAGAGAGAGAGAGAGAGAGAGAGAGAGAGAGAGAGAGAGAAAGAGAGAGAGAGGGAGAGAGAGAGAGAGAGAGTCTTGCGGATCTAGCCAGCACATTGGTGGCTAAAGTTCAAATTCAAAAGAAATCAACATTTTCCATCCTAATCGGAGCACTTTCTTCTGAGTTCGCTGTTCTAACGCTTATACAGGGTGCCCACTACGGCTGGGATCGGCCGGGCCGATCGCCGGACACGATCGCCTAAAAAACAAACGTGTTTGTTTTCAGTTTCAGGCGATCGAGTCGTGCGATTGACCTGGTCCAGCCGTAGTGGGCACCCCGTATTACAAATTACCTGCTTTATCCGTGGCAGGGAGTTAAACTCCAGCTTACATCATCACTACCTCTACCAAAATTACTTCTACCACCACCAGCCATAGCAACAACAACAACAACAACAACAACAACAACTTTTGCAGCAGCAAAAACAACAGCGGCGACGACAACGACGACGACAACAATAATGACGACATCAATGTCAGTGAGTGGCAGCATGTCGTGTTAAGATCTGGTTTTTGTTTGTTTGTTTGTTGTTTTTTGGGGCAAAGAACTCGAGTCCAGAGCTAGAAGAACACGTCAGACACGACCAGTAGTTCATTGTGCAAGTTGCACTACACGTATACACTTCCTAGTCATCTGTCCTGTTACCTAAACCGGGGTCATGTAAAAATTCAGAGTCTGAACCGTTTTAAAACGTCGACGAAAGACCCAATAGAACATCTAATACAGGGCCAGGGCCTGAGCGGGATCTAAGATGCCACGTGGAAAGACGGAGATACTCGATTTAATATTATATATGTGTGTGTGGGGGGGGGGGGGGTGTAATTTCCCTTGAAAGATACTTTTTTCCGATCCGAGTTCTAGCCTTCGGCCTTTTCGAAGATGCATTTGTAGAGGGACCTGGCCGGCCTAGTGCAGCGATCAACTATAGAACCTGGGAACGGACATATAGAGATCGCAGTTAATGGAAGAGGGAGAGTCAAGGCCAGTCTCAATGTGGCCCGGGGAGGAATCTCAATGTGGCCCGGGGAGGAATAAGGCTATCAGATCAATGAAAATATTGGGGCCTATCCAACACCCGGGGTGACCAGGTTGGCACAACAGAATGCTGGACATCGATCATTTCCTCACATTATAGAGAGTGTCTGTCAGGGCCAGGACCAGTCCGGCTGAGCGGGACCTAGAATGCCACCTATGAAAAGACTTGCTGTAACTGCATTGTATTTTTAGAGCCTGCATTGACCTAATTAGCCACAGGTGCCATCATGAAAGAGCATATTATTATTTTTAACATGAAGACCAATACAACACAAATTACTCTGTGTGTGTGTGTGTGTGTTTGTGTGTGTGTGTGTGTGTGTGTGTGTGTGTGTGTGTGTGTGTGTGTGTGTGTGTGGAGAGAGAGAGAGAGAGAGAGAGAGAGAGAGAGAGAGGGGGGGGTGGAGGGAGGGAGGGGAGAGAGAGAGAGAGAGAGAGAGAGAGAGAGAGAGAGAGAGAGAGAGAGAGAGAGAGAGAGAGAGAGAGAGAGAGAGAGACGTAATACCTGTTATGGTGAAATAGGGTTGTAGTATGATTATAGATGTTTTTGATGCCTTTGACTAATTATAATCAGACATCGCCTCCCGTGACCAAGTTGCGGACGAGATAAAACGATTCCTGATATCATGCGGGCCAAAGCATGAGAAAATTGGCTGAAATCGGTTCAAATACAAGATCTCAAAAGTAAGACTAAATCTGAAGCCATGGCCAATTATTTTTTATATAGCAAGGTAATTTCATGAGATAAGATGTTAGATATGTATATTGCTTCCAGTTGGGTCATAAGCTATTGAAATTGATGTTAATTTTCAAGACAGGCAGTTTTGTTTGTATTAATAATTACTCACCGCGGGCCACATTCACTCTTAATTACTGGGTCCACTGGCGGGCCAGACAGTCTGAGTTTGCCCATGATTATAGTTTTTTATCAGATTATTATTGTGTGTTTTTTTAAAGATCAGTTAAAAAGGCTAGCTACTTCGACCCTGCGCGTGGGCCATCATAATTTGATGATAGGCCTTCATGTCCAATCTTCTTCAGGTGTCAGGTCTGGAGCAGACATTGGCGATTATGGTAACCCACTCCTTCCTGTTGTCTGTCTTCTTGTTCTGCGCGGTTTTTCTCTTTGTGGTGTTTGTTGCTATGTTGTTCAGGCCATCTCTGTGTATATTTGTCTTCCTCTGCTCTCTTTTCCGTCCATCTTTCCACACAGCCGCGGTTTCTCTAATCCATTTGATCTATTTATGTGGCTAAAGAATTTCATTGCCAATTTCTGATGGCGCTGATGTCATTCAAAACTTGCAATTTAGAGCACTCCTCTATGTGTTTCATGTCCATGAGATTCTGAGCATTCTCTTAAACACAACATTTCGGCGACTTCCAGTTTTTCCTGCTGAAAAGCCGGAGATATGCCTGCTCTAACAACATCCATATATTTTTAAAAAATTCAAATATAAGCCTACATTTACGGACTACGCCCCCCCCCCCCTCCCATCCACACGCATACACATGGGCTAATCGCCTAAAATTTGGACTTTATGGGCATAACATTTTATATTTCAACCAAACACTTTGAAAAATGTATCCCGTAGGCCTACATCATTTACACATACAGTTTTGGTAGAGCTGGAGCAAGAGCTTGTTTTGGTCTATTTGGAAATGAAAATAATAGTTAAACCTGTGTGCTGCGGGTTTAAATATGTTTGGAACAAAGCAATGCTATTCAAAACATAAAAACAACAGACGAAAAGAAAAAGAAAATGGGAAAACACCTTGTCATTTTTTTTTACTGATTGTTCACAAATCAGTTCAAATCATCTCTCTAAGAAAATTTGTTTTTCTCATATAGTGGCTGAAACTATATATATATATGGGGCCTATTTATTTTCCTAATTCGAGGAAAACTTTGTTTAAAGCAATTAATCTGACAGTGGTCACAAGGCATATTGTTTGTTCATTCATAACACAAAAAGCACCAAATGAATGGAAACGGAGCAGAGAAAAGTTGAGAGAAAGAGAAAACCAGGAAATCTTTAAAATAAAGGGAACTAAGACTTGATAATGAACTTTGTAACCACTCCTCTGAGTCAGTCGGCCAATAAAACTGATGTATAGTCATCAATTAATACCCTATAATTAGGACTGTAAGCTTGCAACATTTCACACAACCATAAACAAACTCCTTTTAATTAAGTAGCCTCACATACAAGCAGCAAAACCATAAGCACGCTGGATCATGACATAAACGCTTTTAAGTAAAATTCTTGAAATAGCCACTAGTTTCTATATCATACGCAATTCATAGATCCAGTCGAAATTGCTATTTGGAAGAAATTGAACACTTTATCGACTTTCCCGTTCAAGACAACAAAGGGTATAACAAAGGGTATGAAAACCGACAACGCATTACTGCGGGGTTTCTACGGGGCATTTGCCCATTTCTAGTGCTCTGCAAAATGGTTGTGGTTGCTCTTTTTTAAAGAAAAAAAAGAGGATATTTTCGTCAAAACCCCGAGTAACAATACTTGGGCTGCCACCTCGCGCATACGCTATCGAGTCTTAGACTCGCCCCTTTCGTAGAGTGGTTTTTACTTTTCATAAAAGAATCATGCGCTTTGCCGTCATAATAATGTTGTTATAGACCCAGCGATATACGCAGATTTTTAAGGCGTTTCAAATGTCTTAATTATCGTTACTTGACATCTTAATCGTTACAGTGTTAAAATTGCATGATGAAATCATTCATAGGCCTACTTTCCATGAAAGTAAGTCGCCGCATGCCTAGAAGTAGTCGAATGTCAGATTTCCTGGGAATCACTGCCCTCTGCCTTTTAGAACAAACGAACAATCAAACAAACAAACAAACAAACAAACAAACAAACAGGCAACAAAGATACAACAAAACAACAACAACCCCCCCTCCCAAGAAAATAACAACCCTTCACAGCGATTTCGAGGGGTTTCTAGCAGAATGATTTTAAATCAGCATATTACATGTAAATTTAAATCTATGCAATGGAGAAAATGCATAGACGTGGATATTTATGTTCAATCGCCAAAGATCAGGAGGCTAAGCAATAAACAAGTTATAACCGTGTCCTTATATTTATATATCCCCCCCCCCCCCCCCCCAATAGACCCCCCTCTTCGTGGGGGGGGGGGGGGGGGGGGGGTTAGTACTCTTCGAATAGGAAAAGAAAAAGAGGAAGCTAACGGTTCAAGGGGTGACCCCGAAAAGAGACATATTATTACTTTACTATGTTTCTTACTCTTTCTATTTATTGCTTTTATTGTTTTTATTGTTTTACTTTATTACATTTATTAACTTTTCTTTTCTCCTCTCTCCATCGACAACCTTTCTTTGACCTGGAGTTGGGACGGGTTTTGGTGGAGTGGAAAGCAGAGGTTCATTGTCAGCACTGTACTGGGTGTGACTTTACGTAGGGAATACCCAGCTACATACATGTATTAAGCATGCACTTATCGGGAGCCCTATGACTGCGGAGAAGGTGCAGAGACCATTTGCGTCTTGCTTGTTGACAACATTAACCCTCTGGGATCTGCCATGCCTTCCCCTGCCCCCATCTCTCGGATGAGAGGACTTGGTTGCTCTGGGAAGGGGGGGGGGGGGGGAATCTAGCTTCCAATTTGTATTATTACTACTATTAGAATTATTATTATTATATTATAATTTTTGTATTTCAGCAACACACAGCAACTATGCTCTTAATAGCGTCTTTCTCTTCTTTATCTCCTCAAACAACTCCCCAATATAATACAACAGACACCAACATACCCATTCATTTTTCTTACAATCTCTCTGTGATGGAGTTGGGTTTTTTGTTTGTGGCATTGCACCTACAGCCACTGCTTTATCTCCTACCCCGGGATGGAAGGAAAATCACAGAACCACCAGTTTTAGATGCTATTCACAAATGATAGAATCCCATACGAGCTGAGACGCCGCCTCGGTAATCAAGGTCTCCCACAGGTCTTAGTGGACAACCAAGCTGGCCTGGTGGATGGTTATTGGAAGGAAAAGAATATAAAAAAGCAGAGAAAACAACATATTTATATATATAGCCTAGATTAAATCACTATAGTAATTGATTATATTCCCGGATCTACAATGAAAAAAAAATTAATGCGCTTTTGAAACGTCTCTTTAAAATAAAAATAGTGATAAATAAATAGTGTATCGTTATTAAAGGTCATATTTTCCTTAGAGTGAAAAGGATACAGACACATTTCTAACGGAAATCTTAAGATGAAATACATGACAGTAGTCTCCGCTGGATGCTACTTTTTCTTACCAAGAAAAATTGAAACACTATTCTAGCATATATGGTTTTATTGGATATTTCAATCCCAGGCTAGGTTCGACAACTTTCAAATTTTCAATACCTTAACAATGATGTTGATAGAAAGTTAGTTTTGGTGTATGTGCCAACAGATATTCTTGTTCACTATTTTTTATCAACTATGGGGAGTAACTTTAGCAAAGTAAATAGATCAGATTTTTACAATGTTTTTGTAGTTGTAGCCTCCCTTATCTCCTTCCAACTCGAGGTTCAATGTTTGACGTCATCGACTTTTCACCCTTCCTTGGTGGGTATTTTGCCCAAACGGATACTATGTTTTTATTTTGCACTGCTCTCAAGAAGACACAGCCTTTTGAAATAGAGTCCAAGTAAACTGTGGTTGATTTAAAAAGGAAAACAGAAATCAAAGCTGAAAATTCAAAGGCATGATCTTCTGAAATCTTTCACGGACCTATAAATTTGTAGAAGTTTCAAAATTAAATAGACTGGAACATTAGGAGATGGGGAGGAAAGGAAACGGGAAATAGATGGGGAGCAAAAATAGATTGGAGAGGGGGTGGGGGATGATAAAGCTAAGAAAAGAGAATGAAGTGGAATTTCATTAGAAAAAAAGGTAAAATAAATAGGCCTAAAAGTAACCACTACAACAACAAAAAACGCCCATCCTATAATTTCTTTAGCTTAGAACCCAAAACAAAAACTGTGACAGTAAGATGAAAAAGATTGGTACAGTTTCACATTCAAGTAGCAGAGAGTCTGTTAGATCTAAAAGTTTGAAACATATTGCAGTCCAAGTACATGCATACAGTTGTCACAAGACTTTAAGATTACAAGATAATTGCTAACTGTGATTTTTCCGTAAACCGGTAATACCTTTAGTCTCACTTCTTTTCCGATGAGGAAATAAACTCGTACCTGGTCCTGGCCAGTCCACTCCTTCGACTCATTCTCATTTCCGCTTCACAGCAGTGTAAATTTAGTGCTGGGGAAAAGGATGGCCAGGCGCCGCAAAACTTACCACTTGCCTCGATAATGTAAAGTTTCGACGTTTGTTGTTAGTGTATCAACGTTATCAAGTGAGGAGAACCATCATAAATGTACATGATGGGAAATTCCGACAGCCGCAACCTCGACCATGGGCACAACCGTTACGATGGTCGAGGAACTGGGCTCGAGTTGCAGCGAAAACCATCCGTTCCAGTGCCCCGTTTACCAATGCCAGATGGAGTAGAACTGGAAAGGAGATTCACAAAAGTCTTGGTTAGTGATTTCTTTGTTTTCTGGTTACAGCCGATTACAAGAGCAGTTAAAAATATGTCTGGTATGTAGATTGTGTCCTGACGGTTTGACAATCAATAAGAGACCAGACTTATTAATTCCCTCTAACTTCCACTGTCTTTTTATCGAAATCTTGATCTCCAGTGAGAGAGGTTCTCTCTAGAGTTCTACCGACTGCACTGTTATTATATTCTACGTTCCATTGTGAATTTTTTCTTGCATTATCAAGTTCTTTTGTTGACACTTCGATTCTCGTACTTGCGCTTTGATTGATCTGGTTCTGTTGTCACTGCAACTAAATCTAGATTCTAGTTCTAGATCTAGATCTAGATCTTGATATAGATCTAGATCTAGATCTAGATCTAGATATCTAGAATCTAGATATCTCGGCGATTTTGTAGTTTCGTTCGTTAAAGTTAAAGGCTTGCCCCCCTGACCTAATAAAAATATGGAGGTGGGGGGGTTCAGGGGGGCATGCCCCTCTGAATTTCATCCTAATTTGATGTTTTGCAGTTAGGTTGCATCCCTGCTCTTTGTGTAGCCTAATTCAATAGTATTTGGTCTTCAAGACTTCTGGATTTCTTCTCTGGATGTAAAAAAATGGATCGTGGACTTTAACGAACGGAACTACAAGATCACCGATATCTCTTCTCTAGTGTGGGGGGTATCATTTTCAAGGGGAAAGTGGCTATTCTCACCCGCCTGGAAGTTCTCGCAAGATCAACTCCTCCCCTCTTCTCTCTCTCTGTCTCTTTCTGAATACTGTCTATCGGTGTGGACGATCAAATTGACCAAAACAAAGTTAAAAAATGATGTTAAAACACAAAAGTAAATTAATTTGGTTGTCTACAAAGATGCTACGGCTATTTAACTTTTCGAATCGAGCCGAACTACGCGGGTCGCCATTTTGACACTTTGTTTTGCCCGCAAATTCTCGCGCTACTCCTCTCTCTCTTTCTCTCTCTCTCTCCACTGCCCACAGACAAAATTGTACACTTTTAGTAGGCTACAGTTGTAATGGAATGTTTGTTCACGGCACAGAATTCTACAATTTTTCTGTTATCACAGTGTAGAATTCTGTGGTTTAAGGTGAACGCAAAATTTGGTGAACGCGCACCGGGTGAGAATAGCTACAAGACTCGCCTGCACTATTCTCACTCCGGGTGAGAATAGAGGTGGCCTTTCAAGGGACATTCCTGAGCCTCAGGGTGGCTCCCTCAAAGAAAAATTGTAACTTGACACACCCTCTTCATGTCATACTTCATGATACCTGACTGATGCTCATGTCAATGTCATGACATAGTCATTGATCGTGAGGAAAGACTGCTAGTATCACCCACTTACTTTTCAGCTAAGTAATAAAGCAGGGTCTTATATCATAAAAAAATTAGTTTGATTGATTGTTGGAAACATTAGACCATTGCTATTAGTTTAGCTACTTTCGAGTGTTGAATGATGTTGGGATGTTATTTTTGTTTATTGTTCAAATTATGATTGGTCTTTCTATTTTCTTAGATGCTCTAGAGATCTTGATTGTTGATGGTCATGCTTAACCCTTTACTTTAGACATGTCAGTTTGACATGGACTCACTATCTTTAAAAGGGTGTAGAAGATGTTTTAGTTGTTACGAATACAGCTTCTTTGTCTTTTACTCACTCTACTCTCATGTTATGTGAGACATCATGGTGAAATCAGGCGCTTGTCAATCAAAATAATGAAGTTAAAGAAACGGGCAATTCTCTGGCTGTTATGCAATTTAAAAAAACAATTTTTTTTTGTTCATTTAAAAACACATTTTGGTTTGAATTTTACTGGAGAACGTTGTTAAACAGCGCAAAAAATGTAAATTTTCAGTTTCCAAAGGCTCTTAAGCCCTGGAAGTCACTAAACTCTGACTGCCATTTTCTCGCTAATTTTACCTTTGAAATCAAGTGACCCCCAACTCCTTCAAAAATATCTTAGACTTACTTTTCAAGATAGATGGATATTTTTTATTACATGATGAAGCTACAGCAAGTACCTAGCACACCTCTGTGATTGGACCAAGTATAGATGACGTATTTCTGCCATCTATTTTTGTCGTCTCCCGGGGTTTCCCTCCCCAGTAATTGTTGACTAGATCTCGCTGTGTTTGTTTTAAAAAAATTAATTTTTGTTATCTTTTATAGAATCTCAGCAATTCTTGTTCCATAAATTTACCTTCTCGTTAAAGTTGTACACACACACACACACAAAAGCGCACGCGCACTCACAGCCCACAAGCTGTTGGCTATGAAACCTAGTGATGTAGCCCATCATGTGCTTAGGGGAAAAGCGGGCGCATCTCGGTGAGATCTAGTAAACTGGTGAGGGAAGCCCCGGAAGATTTCAAAAATAGATGGCAGAAATATGTCATATATATATATATATATTTGGGCCAATCACAGAGGAGTGCTAGGTTCTGGCTGTGGCTTCATTTTTTTTAAAAACCAAAAGCAAGGCAAGTCATGAAAAGGCATAATAAAATTATTAAGATGATTCCAATAACTCTTTGCCAAAAAATTTATGAGCGCCTGACCCCAACACATGGTCACACATGACGTTTTTAGTCTCTTTCTATCTCTGGTCTCTTTTTTATTCTGTCTTTCCTTCTCTCTCTCTTTGTGTCTGTGTCTTGTCTTGTCTGCCCCCCCCCCCCCCCCTCCATGCCCCAGTAAGTGCTTACAAATTTTACTTATCATTTTGGTGAAGCAGTTTTTCAAAAAAATTCTTGAGACAAGTGTTTCTACCAATTATTTTTTGAGGTGACAATAAATGGAATTTCTTAACAAGTCAACCTCATATTATATACTTCAAATCATGAAAAAGATAAAAATACCTTCTTTACTTTTCATAATTTTCTAATTAAGCAGAATGCCACAAATGCCATTAATTTGTTAAACTTCTTTAAAAAGTTTTAAGCTAAATTGTTTAGCTAAATCAAGATGTTGGAAAATTTGTCAAGATTAGTTTTAACTTAAATATGAATATATTGAAAATGAGAGGTCATTGGAAGCAATAAATAACAAAAGTAAAAGTGTCATGAAAAATGTCTTACTCTTTAGGAAATTGTTTTAGAAGTCTCTGTTTTCTAACTGATGTGTTGCTCTTTTTCTCTCATGATCACTAAAGTAAAATCATTTGTTTTTTGTCTTTTGGTACTGTGGACCACTTTTGTTTGTATTCATGGTGCCATTTAATTGAGTACACTCAGTCAAGACTGCTACCGGTAGCTTTTTTTTTTCGTGGTTGGCTTAGATTTTCTACATTTCTACTCACTTGTAGTTTGTAAGTCTTCTTTGTGTTCATTGAAATACTGTACTGTTTATTGGATTTAGACAGTCAACTGTGCTACGTGAACTTTGCTCATGGCCCATGTTGGAGGATTTATAACTGAAAATTGAAAATCATCTGGAACTGAGAATTGATTCAGACAAAGCAAAAGTGCCGCTTAGTGACTGGACACTAACCATTTTTCTGTGTGGTAAAAACAACTTAAAACTTGATGTTTTGTATTAAAATTTGACTCAGTTCAGTACCGTTAACAAGAAGGTCATCTTCCTGTTCATGTTAGCATAGAAATAAACAAAAACTGTTGTCAGCTCTTCTTCAGGTTTTCAAGTTTGCCTTTCTATGTTAAGATTTTCTATGCTTTCTGTTCATATCTGGTCATTTTCTGACTTTTCTTTTCTGTGATGCTTTTGGAATCCTCTTGAATGACAGTAACATGTATTTTCCTCTTACTTTCAGACTTCTATGGATTTGCCCCCAGACAAAGCAAAAGTTTTGAAAGGATATGATGATGAAAGAAAATGGGACCTCATTTGTGATCAGGTAAAAATTTAGCGTTCTAAGCCTAATATGTCACATGGTTGTTAATACTCTTTATGTCATAAAAGACCTTTTTATGTGAAATAATTCTCATAAAAACAAATTGAAGTTAAAACAATTCGTGATAGCCTATACTATACTCCTATAGATGATCTTAATAGTACAGTTAGTAAAATAAATGTTCAGTACTTTTCTGTTGTGTGTTTGTGGCATTTTTATTCTACAGTTTCATGGTTGATCAAAGTTCTAATTTATTATTCCTCTCTATTTACTTCTCATTTTCCTATCAGATTATCAGCCTTGGCCTTGGCTGTCCCTGCCTTGAATTTGCTTTGTAGGCCTAAGTATAAAGTTCAGTGGAAATATGCTGCAATTCAATGTTGTACACATTCATTTGAAGTAATTTGAATTCTATGCACAAACACAACAAAGAACTTGTCAACATGTGTTTTGCAGAGGTTATCTTAAATCTTTAGAAGAGAATGTTGCTTAACGGACTTATTTTTTCCATCTGTGTAGGTTAAGACTATATAAGCATCAGTATCAAATTGGGTGAACATTACATATACTTGGAGACTGTTTCTTCAATTTTTTTCTTCTTTCTGACCCCTTTGTTGATTATAATGGTGCTAAGCGTTCACATGAAAAATTTTCATCTGACCGCCTTTCTTTCTCATGAGTGAAGCTCTGGATGAATACGGATGATTTCAGCCCTCGTGGATTACTCAGTACTTAAATGCAAAGCTCTCAGCATGTATGCCAGTTTTCCCATAATTTATTCTGCTGTCGCCAAAAAGGAAATAAATATTACTGGTTATTTCTACCATCATTCGTGATTCTTGCATAATGTTTGAATTGTGGACTGGAAAATGGCAACAGGTGTTAATCATAGTGCAACATTTTACTGCTTGCTGCTTCTGTGTATGAATATTGTTTGTTTGATAACGACTTGTTTGGGAACTGGTCCTGATCCACTTCCCTTTTGGAAGTGGAGTTTATTGAATATTTTGCTATTTCTATTAGATCTAAGTAGGAATGTAAAATATAAATTTTGCTATAAAAACCTTAATATTTGATTATGGACTATTTGTGACAGTATTATTAATCCTCTTTGAGCCGTACCAGCCTAAACCAGCCTTCCCGTCTTGTTGCCATACCGGCTTTTACCGGCCTGACACTCCCGTCTTTGGTATGGGCTTAGAAATATCATGAACATTCCCCTCCAAATTGAGATACTGATGCTCTAGGTCTTTGTATAAATTTCAATTGGAATACATCACTTTGATCAAAAGCAAAGGCAATTTATTTGGTACATCCCCTGAAACTCTGAAAAACACTGAAATAATTCGATTTTGGGAAGCCATCGACTGGTGGCCGTTTTGGTTAATAATTCAAAGATTGATTTTGTAAATTAATCAGTGCCCAAGTAATAAGAGGAGATGAATTAAATTTCCATTGTTTAATTTAGTATTCATCCCTAACCTGTCTGAACTAACCCCTTCTTTCATTACACTTTTTCCATTTCACTCATCTTCTTTTATTCTCCTGTTTTCTTTTCTACTTCACCCCCCCCCCCCCCCCCACCACATTCTTCTGATCACCCCTTTTTCTCCTCACTTATTTCTTCTGCATCCATCTAGTTCATTCACAGTTGTTGTTTATAGGTCTCTGTGACCCTTCTCTCTTCCCCGCTCTCTTTCTATTCCACTTTATTCCATTTGCAAAGTCTTGTTCCAAAAAATAGAGACAATTGAGATTCTTTGACCACATAATTAGATCAAACAGACCAATGAAACTGCTGCTGTGTGATTAGATGGAGGGAAAGAAGAGCAGAGGAAGACAAAGAACAACTTACACTCAGATATGGCCTTTTTACAACTTTGCAACAAATAACACAGTGAGAAAAACTGAGCTGATTAATTCCTGTTCTTGACCTTACAGTTGATGTGATGAAGTCTTGTTCTGCTGTATGTAGCACTCGTACGATCTATAAAAGGCTTCCTTTTCATCTCAACTGTTTTTATTTCCAGGAGCGTGTACATGCCAAAGATCCTCCTCATGTCTATCTGGATAAACTTAAAACCTATCTGGACCCTAAGGCTACCAGGAGCTCACGGGTAAGCTTAAATCATTGCATGTACTTGTGCTTCTGTTGTGTGCTCTGTGGCAAACAGCCTATAGATATTTGTTTCTTTGTACTAAACACAAGCGGTTATTACTTTGTTCTTTGTTCTGAGTTTGTTTCTCTTTTCCTTTCGTCTGTGAGTAATGCACAGATTATTATGAAATTCCAAGTTTGAATGCTGTGTTGAGAGGACTGCAGTCATGCCATTCATAGTATTTACACAAGATATAATGTCCTGGATATTTGTGAAGGTTACTGTATGCTGCTTTTCTCTTTTCTAATGTTCAAATTGTGTAGAACATTTGTTTAATATGTTACTACGTTTCTTTTTCAAGCACCTGTAAAGTCATTTTTTCTTTCAGAACGCTGAATATTCTTGTGATGTAATCTTTAGAAATTGGTAATATTTTGAAGTGATTATGTTAATGTTTTAAAACTTTGTTTTGTTTTTATTTTTTAAATTTGTAAATTTAAAAAAAAATTTTTTTTTGGGGGGGGGGGGGGTGTTAGAATTAAACCCCAACAAATTTGATGCTGTTAATGTAATGTCATACTGTTTGTTCCCTATTATGTGAATTTTTTTCTGCTGTCAGTACAGTATAAAATGTTGAGAAGTTTTGTCATGTGAGGCCACAATAAGCCCACCTTCACTTCTTTTTCAACTATTTCTGTTGATTTTTTATAAATAGGACTACAACCTGTTTTAGGTATCTCACTTCAAGCTGCTATACTTTTGAAAAAATATTATTATGACAGACAAGAGTAATCTGTTTGCTGTACCATAATTGCCACCAACAAAAATCAAATCACTCTGCATAGCTGGTCTTTTTCCATCTTTCCTACCCTTTTTGTCATTTCTGTCTATCACGTTGCTTCTCGCCCCCCCTCCCCCTGTATGAACTTTGTTTATGTGCACTCCAACGATCTAACAAGATCAACAATTTTTCCAAATTTTACCTGCATTTTAGGAGAAATAACTCAACAAGTTGAGTGTACATGGAAAGCAGATCTTCTCTGCCCACTCATAGTTCTAGAGGCTCTCTAGCACAAGGGCAGTATTGTGTAGGAGAAAATTCCTTATCGTGCAGCAAATGCTAAAATGGGAAAAATAATTACTGCTTGTTTGATATTGCTGTGTCTGTAATCCGTTATGTTCCCCACTCTGAAGGTGAAGCCTTTGCTAGAGTTAAGAAGCGGAACGACTCCTCCACCATTTTCAGTCACATGCATGATGCTATTTTTGAAAATCAAGTCAGGTGTAGGCATTTTTTTCGCTCTTGAAATAGACATGAACTGAGAGTAAGACTGTGTCAGAGATTTTTTTGCGATACGATTAAGAAGTTTATGGGGGGTACATCGGATATTTATATTGCTTTAAGGTGGCTTTGAAGAACTTCATCAGGAGAGGGAGAGAAGATAATGGTTGTCCTTTGTATTGCATTTGAAGATGGATAGAAAGTTGTCCATCATTGCATTACACGCTGTAAGAAGCTTTGTGGAAAGTCCCGGCAGGTATACGCCTGTTGTTAGGGCTAGGATGGATGAGAGTAGCAAGTGGAATCATATCAGGGTGTGGCGCGTTTTATGTAGGCGCGTCCCTACCTTCAGTGTCTCTTTTATTACTTCATTTATGCTGGCTGTGTTCCATGTGTTTTGTTTTTGTTTTGACTCCACTGCAGTGCTGCTTTCTCATGGGCATATTATTATATTCTGTTTGTGTGTTTGTGCTATATTCTCAGCGTGGCACTCTGTTGCCATAATTATGTCGATGTAAATAATTAATACCATCTCACGCTGGCGCTTAAACACGCATAATTTCGCATTTAAAGACGGTAAAATGGAAATTTGTCGGGCATGAATGGAGAGAGAGAGAGAGAGAGCGAGAGAGAGAGAGAGAGAGAGAGAGGGAGAGGGAGAGAGA